GGCAGGGCTACTAAGCAGCAGGCATAGAGGGGACAGGATGAGAGGGAGCAGTGCGGTGCCTGGGCCAGGCTCCTCCCCAGCCACCTGCTACTTCACGCACTACTACATCCCTCAGGGGTTGTCGGACTGCCAGTTTTGCCCTGATCCCTGAGGCTAAAACTTGCAGTCCAACATCCTGCGATGGGTCCCAGATTGCAAGAGGATGCAGGCTAGTCTGAGGGATGCAACCAGTGCACAAATTCATGCACTGGGCTTCTAGTTATTAATAATTGACTAGCAATGTGAACATAGTCTGAAATTTTGTATTGTGAGTAGCATTATCTGAAGTACTTCAGAAAATGCTGACTTTTCTGGAAAACAATTTAAAAAATTGCACACACCAAGAAAAATAGATAAAACTGGTCACTTGACAGCTACCTTATTAGCTTCCTCACACTGCCTCTCTCATGGCACTTAGACCTGATGGCACTTCATCTGAAAGATAATACTAAATCACATCTATAAAAAAGATTAAAAGTTGTAAAGTTTCTACAGGAGAAAAATGTATGTGGTTAAATTTAGCTGCATTGTGGAAAAGACAAGATTAACCAAAGTTTTTATCTACTAGTAAATACAATGAGAGGGGAAATGCACACGCATTCACTTAAAAAGTAGTTTTTTTTCTTTTAGAAATTTTTGAATGTATTTGAAGATTGTTCTGAACTTTGACTTACTGTCACTGCATTTATTGTTACCTTGGCTGTGAGGTCTTTCATATTAATAGGCACACATATAATATTTATATCCCACCACATATTTTTTTTCCTCTTCTGAAGATTTAATCCCAGCTATGTATTCTTTATTCATAAAGGAGACAGGATTTTCTTGGGAGGGAAGTCAAGAAGGAAAAAAAAGCAATTAAACAAGACATGGAGCAGGTAAAGGAATAAGGCACATGTCACAGCTATGTGCAGCACATATGGCTCCTCATGCAAATAAAAAAGACACCTTCTTTAGGGGGATGAATTACAAAAGGTGCTACTTTTTCTGGCAATTGAGGTAGATTTTATCCCTCATTTGTCCCCTAACTGGACAGTGTTGTACAGGGCATAGATGACGCAGCCAAACACAGTGGAAGATGACTAGAGAGAGCTTGTGAAAAATAAGTGAGAAAACAAAGAGCTGGATAAAAGTCCTATGTTATACATTTGTATGAAATCTGAAAATTACACTGTTCAAATTCACTTAATTTGTTGCCCTATGCATAACTTAGTTCACATTTTCTTTGCTTTTCGGCCTACTTAATTATTGTTAAGTCATTTGAAGGTGTTTTAATATATTTGGAAATTATTAATGAAAAAATTCTACATTGCAAAAAATATTTGATATTTAATGCTGTGGACTAGCTAATTCCCACTCAACCTTCAGACCTCAGTTTATGCCCTTTTTTCTGAAAGTCTTTCTTCTAATAGCCTTACTGTCCCTACCTCCTACTTTTACCCTGAGTCTGATATACATTCACTCCCCTCGGCTCCCTGGAACTCTGAGCTGGCCTCCACCATGGTCCTTCTACCTGCCACATGCCCTGATTTGTTAACTCATCTTATGACCTTAGAGGTTGAAACCTTCCTGAAGTAGTCTGGTATCTGATTTTGTATCCATTGGCATAGAGTAACAACTTAACAAATCTTTGTCAATTGTTTTTGCAGTACTGAATTGTAAAAGGTAAAGAACTCTGAAATTTTCTCTACTACTGTGCTTTCCTTCTTCTAGGCAACCTTTCAGATTTTGCACAAATATCCCACAATTGCCCCACTTCTAAATTTAGCAAATACTTTTGGACTCTGTAGGACTAAATCACAGTCCTGATCTGCAGTGATTCAGACCAAACAGTCATGTGAAGAATTGTGTTGACCACAATAAAGAGGGGTGCTGTGAGAATATGAAGGACATTCATTATGATTTACAGCAGTGGTTCTCAACCTTCCTAATGCCGTGACCCTTTGATACAGTTCTTCATGTTGTGGTGACCCCCCAACCATAAAATTATTTTCATTGCTACTTCATAACTGTAATTTTGCTACTGTTATGAATCGTAATGTGAATATCTGATATGCAGGATGTATTTTCATTGTTACAAATTGAACATAATTAAAACATAATGATTAATCACAAAAACAATATGTAATTATATATGTGTTTTCCGATGGTCTTACGCGGCCCCTGTGAAAGAGTCGTTCGATCCCCAAAGGGGTCAGGGCCCACACGTTGAGAACCACTGATTTAGAAAGTCTGGGAAGGAGATAGAACCCTGCCTAAGATCCTCCTGAAGGGAGGCGTCTTCTCCTCCATCAGGGAATAGTTAGAATAACTGCTCCAGGGCTATGCTCCATTGGTTGCACATCCTTGTGCACTCTTCCTTGTTGACAATAAAGAAGACATTGATGGCATTTTAAAAGTGGGGGAACATAGCAAACACATGATGGGGAAGCAGGTGAAGAAAGTAAGCAGGTGCTCACTTCCCATACATACATGTTGGTAATGACAAGAGACAGAACTTAGGAGAAACAGCATGCTCTTTCAAGATTGGAAAGACTTGTATTTTTTTAATCCTCACCTAAGTTTATGCTTTTATTTATTTTAGTGAAAGAGGAAGGGGGGGGGGGAGAAAGAGCAAGAGAGAGAGATTGTTTGCCCCAACCGGTATCCAGCCAGCAACCTGGGTATGTGCTCTGACCAGGAATTGAACTCGCACCTCTTTGGTGGATAGGACAATGCTCCAGCCAACTGAACCACCTGTCCAGGGCAAGACTTATACATTTTTTAAATTAGAGGATAAAGAATTATTAGAAGGCAGAATTACAAGATAGCTAAAAGGTAATTATTAGAATCAGAACCTTTAGATCACAAGGAAGAGGGATTCAGTTTAGTCTAATAAGAAATAAACATTCAATGTAGGAATAGATTGCTTAATAAAAAGGTGAGTTTGATCACAACTTAAAATTTATCCTGATGCCATTTGAGATTCATTTAAGACTATATATATATATACGTGTGTGTGTGTGTGTGTGTGTGTGTGTGTGTGTGTGTGTGTGTGTGTGTGTCTTCTACCTCAGTCCAAAAAGGATCAGACAGGACCCACTGAAGAGAGCTGTTTGGAAGATTTCTGGAAATTAAATCAGTTTCATAATATTTTCTAGTATAATTTTAATCCTTTCCTTTCAGAAAAACATTAAAGTCAAGCAAGAGCATGTTTGTTGATTCCTTCCTTTTAGGAACATTTAAGTTGCTAAGAACCTGCTAAGTTCAAGGCACTGATCCAGAGATTTAAATGTTTAATTTTATCCCTGTCTCCCTAGTCCCACCCTGGTCCTCTTTCTGGAAGAATAAAACCACAAGCAATAGTATCTATTGTTAGAGAGACTTGAGCTCTTCATTATACATTGAGCTAAGTATTGGACATTTTCTAATCAGGACAACTTAACAATAAAAGTACTCCTTTTTTTTCAATATTTCTCAAGAGTTTGTTAATAATAATGTGAACCTAGCCAGAAATGATTACTTCCACATTATATAATCATAAATCTTGCCTTGAGAAGATAAAATATGCTGTTATCGCTTGAGTACAATCAAGGTAAATAGTCACACTTTGCATATGTGTGGACACCATGCAAATAAACATATACATTAAAATTGGGAAGCACTTAAAGAGATTTAATAATTTATCCTAATGCCTCTGCAAGTAAAAGAACCAAAGCCCCATTTATGCTAAAATCTGGCAGATAATGATGCAGTCATGGCTAATATTGCTAGTAAATTTGAAAATTCACACTTTTATTGAAAAAAATTTTTTGAATTGCAGCCTAAGAGGACAGGTTGTTAAATTTAAGTACTTTATAAATGACAATTGTAGATAGTGATATGATTAGTGGCAATATTGTGTTGAGAGCCATCTACCAACTTACCTGCACTCAGCAATGATTTTCATATTTCACTTTTATGTGCAACAAAATGGCACATCATTTTAGGGTGGAAATTAGCATGGTAACAGAGTAATGATCATAGTAAATAATGTGGTTCTCCTTGTTGAATTAAATCACATATAGTATTTTAGAAAATTACTTCCATTAGTCTAGCTTAATATATTGAAATATTTTGCCTGTAGAATTTACATATAGAAGATATACTTAGTTCTCAAGATTATCTCTTTGACATACATACAATAAAAGTATACAGTCTAGATAATTTGGGGTCTAAAATTGTTTTTATTCATTAGAAGCCTTAAAATCTCATTAATATTTCCATCTACATAGGCCATAATGAAATATTGCATAGCTCAGAATGCTTAAATAATGGGTTCCTCTTTGGGTTAATTTTCTCCAGAATTTCAGAAACTTTTTGAAAATAATAAATTTATACCTTAAAATAATATTCCAGGATTCATCTAAAGCAGCATAGCATGCTAAAATATATTTTTATAGTGAACGTTTTGCTACATTTAATCATTATACAAAAGTCTTAGTGTTATTTCTACTGATTGCCTTCTCCATTTATTAGAACATGTGATTTTCTGAATTATATTTTGTGTTGTCTGTGGATTTTAGGTCTCATTTTTTTTATTCCCATAAAGATTTCAGAAGCTTAATTCATTAGAGACCTCCATATGTTCCTTCTTACAAAGGACTTTATTGAGGTATATGTGTTGTATTTAGTGCTAAGCAGGTTCTTGTGTTCTTTGGTCATTAGCTGCATGCATTTTCTCACATGTTAACATTTTCACAATTAACCCCAGCTTCTAAGTCAGAATAGTGACTTGGTTAGCAGAAGCACATTTGCAAGGAAATGAAAGCTTGTCTACAAAATACTAACACTTGGATGACTCTGCACCCTGAGAGAAGAGCAGCCGGTGAATTTTCTGGATTTCTTTCATGGCTGACTTGGGATACACTTGCATTGTCAGAGTGTCTTGACCTCCCCCGTTGATGCCTATTGATTATGACAGTCACTCCCCTTCCCTGCAGGCCATGGAGGCACAGATACAGAACTTTGGACAGACACCATCTCAGTTACTAATTGAGCCACATCCGCCTCGGAGCTCTGCCATGCATCTGGTAAGATATATCAGCTTGTTGAAATTTTTTTTTCTTGTAGCTGGATATAGATCAAAAATAAAAGTTATTTTTAGCAATGTTTTTAAAGCTTCTCAATATATTGGTTAACTCTTTACCTAGATATTTACTGATACTCTAGAGGGAAACAGAGAAGAGAGTGCAGTTCTTACCTTTAAGTACTGCTGAAGCTAGCTCAATTTGGGGTTCACAAAAATAGCCATCTTCTCTGCCTCAACATAAACTCATTCATACACATACAGTCTATGTACACCCACAGCACAATTGGATTCGATTTATTCATTAGTATGAAAAACATATAAATACAACATATTGTCCAATTTAATCTTTTTGGGCAAGGTGAGATAAGGGCAGTAGTTCATTTAAAAAAAAAGGTATATAAAAGTAATTTATGGTCATGACAGAGAGGCAGTCGAGCAGAGGGGTTAAGAACAAGGGCTCCAGAGCCAGAGTTAGGTCAAACACCATCTCTGCCACTAACTAGTGAGTGACTTAGCCAAGGTATATTTTTAACTTCTCTTTACATTTCATCATCCCTGAGAGTTTCATTACTCAATATGTACGCCACTTAGACCAGCACCTGGCATGCAATAAGTTCTCAATAAACATTAGCTGGTGTCATCAATCATCATTAGTTATTTAATTTAAGTTAAATTTTCCTTTTCCATTTGCAATGGAAAAAATAATATTATTTTCATTTTAATGTGAATATTTTAATAGCAAAGCAGTCCTTTTTTAGCTTATTAGCAAATAGTAAACATTTCCTTCTTTATCTAAATTGAAGAAAATAAAAAAATTTCTGATAAACATTTAGATTTTTTAAAAACTGAGTTTTAATATTTTTTCTCTAGTAAAAAATGCTTGAAGATAAAAATGTATTTGCAAAAAAAATGTAATGAATTACAACTTACCAGGTTTTTTAGACAGTTATCAAGGCAGCAAATACCCTAATTTGGGAAAAAGCTCTGGAATATGTATAGACATACACAAAGTTCTAAGTTGTTATGTGGTGATGGAAGTATTTTTACACCTTTCATTCATTCTGTCAGTTACTTAACAAATTTGTATTGAGCCCCTTCTGTGTGTCAGACATGATGTAAGCATTGCCAATACAGAGGCAAATAAGTACATCCTCTATACCTCCAAAGAGTCAATAGACAAACTCCTAGTGAAATACACAAATAAAATGTTTCTTTGAAAGCATTTTTTTCTCTATAATGGCTCAACCAGTTTCAGCCCCTTGATGAGTTGCTAATGAACTCTTCTGATTGAATGGGTCCTTGTGTGTGACAGAGCAGAAAGGTCTGTACCAAGTGTGCTTTCCCATACAAACACCCAGTCAGAGTGTAGATATGGATTCTCAAGCCTTGAGATGAAGCATTTTTAATAAATTGTCCAAGATGATCTATCTGAACACCTTACTTTATGAAATGCTTTGGAAGAAGAGTTTATTCCTGAGTTAGTTTTCTTTGTTTCACTTGCAACCCCTCCCCCTGGCCGGACCCTACCCATGAAAGAATTCGTGCACCGGGCCTCTAGTAGACAGTAAAACTGAGACCTGTAGAGGTTAATTCACTTGCTCAAAGGCACACAACTGTTAATAATAATAATAATAATAATAATAATAATATTTATCCTGGATTAATGCCTGGTTAGACTCCATTACTTTCCTAGGGGGAATTGTTAGAGACTAAATTGGCTTGGAACTATTTATAAAGAAAATTTGCCAAAACCGGTTTGGCACAGTGGATAGAGCTTCAGCCTGCGGACTGAAAGGTCCCAGGTTCGATTCCAGTCAAGGGCATGTACCTGGGTTGCGGGCACATCCCCAGTAGGAGATGTGCAGGAGGCAGCTGGTCGATGTTTCTCTCTCATCGATGTTTCTGACTATCTCTCTCCCTTCCTCTCTGTAAAAAATCAATAAAATATATTAAAAAAAAGAAAATTTAAGTTTTTTAAATTCATGTAGCAGAGAATTCATATATATAGCAATTACAAAACATGGATGAAAGCTAAATAATGATTATTCCCAGGATCCCTATTTTGTGTTTTTATATAGCAGTATTTATAGTGTTTTATAGTACTTAATAGTAGTACTTATAGTATCTACTGTCTCTCAAGTCATAAGCTCAATGTTTGAGAAACAAAGATTTAAAAATTAAAAGCAGCTTCAGTAAGCTCACAGTACAGATTGGGGAAAGAGGCACAGACCATAGGCAGTCAGTAGTGCCAGTAGAAATGTGTATAAAGCTCTGTCAATGGAGTCTATTAAGTTCTCACTATATAGACAGTAGCCATGACCCCAGGTCAACCTGGTAAAAAATAAAAATATCAATCTATGTACTTTATACTTCATGTAAACAGTGTCAGTAACTGACTTGACTAATTTTCCCACAAACCAGATGTTTTAATTGCATTAAATATTTATGTTACATCATGTGCACATAACTATATACCGTATTTGCCGGCGTATAATACGATTTTTTGGCCCTGAAAAATATGCCTCCAAGTGGGGGGTCGTCTTATATGCCAGGTACACTTCAGATAGACTGCCCATAGTGCTTGCCCCGTGCCATAGTGGCCTCCCGATGCCCGCCCACTTCATTCCACATACCGTTCAGGCATCAGCAGCGCTGCTGGGTGTATGCTCGGCTGTTATGCGATTTTGCTGTTATGCGATTTTACCACACTCGCAAAATCGCACACAGCCGACCATACACCCAGTATGATAGCGCAAAATCACGAATCGCGATACCATACTGGGTGTATGGTTGGCTGTGTGCGATTTTGCGAGTGTGGTAAATTCGGGTTACCGTATATTTCTTTACATATGCATTGAAGATTCGCGATTTTGCGCTATCATGGTGCCTGTTAGAATGTTGAAGAGCTCGCACTTGCGCACTAGTGAGGTCCCAGGGAGATGCTGATGCAAGGGTGGACCAGACTGCTATAGTGACAGGGCGGGCAAACAGGGAGCAGGGACCAATCAAATCAGGCTTTGTATACAGCCAACAGCCAACCACAATACTGCCCCATTGTACAGTACAGCATAGAAAATGTCGACCAGTCAAACCCCTATCATCCCTATCATGGCACCAAGATGTCGTTGATGAACTTTTAATATCAGATGATGAAGAGGAGTTTGAAGGCTTTTAAGGTGAAACTGTCACGCCAGCATTAAAATGTTAAAATCAAATCTGATATTGTTTTACCTTTTATTTGGTGTGTGGAAGGTGTGCGGAAGAGGGGGTAGTCTTATACGGCGAGTATATAACAAACTCTGTATTTTGAGTGGAAATGTTAGGGGGTCGTCTTATACGCCCAGTCGTCTTATACGCCGGCAAATACGGTACTAACTTCTTACATTGCAGTCTGGTGGTGCTTAAATGGAGACTGGTTGTTAAGAATTGGGTGTCCTCCATCAATGACTACCAGAGTCCCTGCTCTCTTTTCTCTGTGCTGTCTTCACAGTACCAAAATTAGCATTGTTTTGTTCTCTGTGTGCTCATGCTAACCTCATGCTCCCCAGAACTTTCACTAACTGTGTTATCCCTTCTGTTTTCTTTCACTCTCTTCCCTTTCTATTCAACAGTGTTTCCTTCCACAGAGTCCACTCATGTTTAAAGATCAGATGCAACAGGATGTGATCATGGTGCTGAAGTTTCCATCAAATTCTCCAGTAACCCATGTGGCAGCTAACACACTGCCCCACCTGACTATCCCTGCTGTGGTGACTGTGACCTGCAGCAGACTGTTTGCAGTGAATCGATGGCACAACACAGTAGGTAGGTACACCTAAGAAAGTCACTTGCTAAATGGTTCTTAAATAATGCAATTAAGGTAAGATATGTGTTTCTGCAGGCAATCTACTTTGCCAAATTATCACCAAAATGCAGCAGAGTAAATAATTGTCAGACCTAACTGTATGACCCTTGTCTGTCTTATCTGCTGCTGTCATATTTTGACTACAGTCCCAGTGCACAAAATTCGTGCATAGGGTGGGGGTTCCCTCAACCCAGCCTGCACACTTTCCAATCCGGGACCCTTTGGGGGGTGTCCGACTGCCGATTTAGGCCCAATTCCGGGTCTCACAATCCTGAACCACTGGCTCCTAATCCCTCATCTGCCTGCCTGCCTGGTCACCCCTAACTGCCCTCCCTGCTGGCCTGATTGCCCCCAACTGCCCCCCCTGCCAGCCTGGTTGCCCCTCATTCCCCCCACCACCACCACTGGCCTGGTTATCCCATGCAACCTGCTTGTTCAGTCGTTTGGTCATCCCTCACTAACCCCCCTGCCAGCCTGGTTGAAGGCAGCCATCTTGTGAGGGTGTGAGGGTTAATTTGCATATTACATAGGATGCTCACAGAATGCTTAGCTGATGATCAAGTATTCAAGATCTGGTAAATAGAAGCAGTTCTTCAAATCAGTCAGGTCCTTCCACCCTACTTTACCACTGCCCCCAGAAAAAACAGTTTTCCCATATTAAACAAAAATGAGTTTGAATCGCATTTTCTGAATAATGGTTTCAAATCCTCTTTCTTTTACCTCATTAATTTCTTTAGCAAATATTTGAATGGCCACTGTGTGTCAGATAGTCCTGAGCATACAGTAATGAAGAAGATAAACACCATCTTTCTCCTTGTAAAGCTAAGAGTCTTTGACAAAAGACAAATCTAAGTTATTCAGTAATTTCACCAAACTTATTCCTGAAAGTTCCAGCCAGTTCATCTTGAATGATATAATTCTGTCATAAAAACTAGACATATTGATACTTATTTAATCAGGACAGAAGTGGAAGTGACCAAATTATTCAGTTGGCCCAGTTCAGCACTTACAATCTCCCTAGAATTTCCAGGATTCCCACTGTCTCCAGGACTGAATGGATGAGCCATGGTGAATTAACTGAAATCTTTCTATTCTATTTATTTCTGTATTTCTCTGAAAAATAGTCATGTATACTATAGCTTAGTCTCCTAAAAGCTTCTAAGTGTACCTATTTTACAGTTTTTGGTGATGTTATCAACATGAAGTGGAATTACTTCCATTCAATCAGAAATGTATAGCAAACATCTTCAAATATACAGGGTTGGGCAAAAGTAGGTTTACAATCATTCATATGAAAATAATCCTATATAATAAAAGAGAAACATGCAAATTGACTGTCCCTCTGCTACGCTCACCAGCCAATCAGGAGTGAGTATGCAAATTAACCTGGCAAAGATGGCAGGTTAATTTGCATACACAGGAGCCGGACGGAGAGCAGAGTGGGAGAGCTGGCAGAGAGTAGAGCAGCTTGAGGAAATTGGCTCCCCAAGTTGCCTGACAGAGAGCACAGAGGGAGAGCTGTCGGCTTGGAGGACTTGGCAGAGTGGGAGGCATGGGACAGAGACAGAGCAGGAAGGGAAAACCAAGATTGCAGGGAACACTGGGAATTCTGGGAATAGTAGTTTTGGTGGCAGCCCCAGCACCGGAAGCGGAAGCCCAGAGCATGGGGAGCACCAGGAATGCTGGGAATCATAGTTTTGGTGGCAGATGGATCTCCTAGACACTAAAGCAAAGTGATCCTGAAACAAGTTACTATTGTGGTGGGGGATGGAGGGAAAGCAAAGGTGAGAGACAGAAGTAAAATCAGAGTGTCTAGGAAAAATTAAAGGGAAGATATCCTAAAACTTCCAGGAAATCTCCACCAATGAAGCAAAGAAAAAAAACATGCCTCTATTATTCTGTGAGGAACAAACCAAACTGAGTTGGAGTCCCAGAAAATTCACTCTTATGATTGCAAAGACAGACAGAAACTCCCGGATTGGAGAGGGCTCCCCTGAGGGCTCCCAGATTGGAGAGGGTACAGGTCGGGCTCAGGGACCCCCACACCCCCAATGCATGAATGTCATGCACCAGGCCTCTAGTACAATAATAAATAATAATACAAGAATAACCTCTGTGTCTCGCATACTCACAACTGTAAACCTACTTTTGCCCAGTCCTGTATATGAATATTTACAGGAGTCTTAGCCTCTAGAAATGTTTTGTATTGGGAGAAAATTATGAAGGACTAAATTTTTCTTTAGAATTGTTCCAAAGCATTATATGTTATACTAGTGACCCAGTGCACAGATTCGTGCACATTGAAAGGAAATTAATTAGAAGAAATATTTTAATATCACTATTCGCCCTTTCTCTATAATAGAAGTGTCAACCAAATGCACAATCAACAATGACAGATTGAAACACACATGTGCGATTGGTGCCAGCAAGAGCTTTATATGTATCCCACATGCACAAGTCAACTTAGCCTTTTTATAGTTATAGAATAAACTTGCTTAATTAGACCTGCTTCCTGATTTAGTTAAACTTTTTCCAGCCCAGTGAAGCACCCCAAATTCTCTTTCAGGTAATTGTCAGCAACACAGCAATAAATATCAATATGAAGCAGATTATTATTGTAGGACTAAAGCAAGTTGTGTTGCTGGACTGAAGAAACTGCAAGGAGGCTAGTTGCTAGGGAGAGGAAGCCGGGTGTTGCTACGTGACATCATTAACTGGTGGCCACAGCTACCATTTCTGGGCTAGGCTGGGCTGGGCTGTGTGCCTCATTTTGTGCCATGAGGTCTTGGCAGCTTTGGCTGCGATTTGGTGGGGTGTCACTCCAGGTGGTGGCAGGGCCTGTGTCCCACTTGGGGGAAACTGAGTGTTGCTTTGTGGGCTCCAGGTCCGTGGTGCTGTTTCTCTGTAAATGGCCAGTGCATATCACTGCAGCTCCTGTGTTAAGCATCTGCCCCCTGGTGGTCAGTGTGTGTCATAGAGACCAGTCGGATGGACACTTAACATATTAGCTTTTTATATATTTAGATAATCACATGTAATAAATTATGACTGATGACCTTAATCAAGCCCTAAAACATTAATCCTCTGAAGGAAGTTTTTACTGAGTTTAAGATTTGAGGTGTGGCTCAGGTTTATGCCTTTAGTTGACTTGTCCTATATTGAAAGAAGACCCACTTGGGTGGGAGCTGCATCTCCCCTCTGCCCGTGTCTAGGTGAACCTGTTCTCACACACATTGCTGCTTGCAGGCATGGCCTTTTCTTAGATTTCAGCCTCATTGGTTGCCCAGCAACCTTAGCTCTCTTTTGGGCTCAAGAAATGTTGTGATAATCTATTTTATCCAGCTTTTTGTTATGATATTAACACTCTTTGTAGCTTGAGACATTCTACATCCTAAGTGGAAACTAGCAGTCTCTATTGTAATGATCTTATAAAAGACTATCTACAAAGACATGTGGTAGGACTTAATCATTCTCACAAGAATTTACCAAATAACCTTTAAGCAAATGTATATTTTGTATAATCATTATAAAATACTGCTTATTACGAAATGCCTCTTTTCTGATAATTTAATGGTAGTTTTCTCTTTTTATTTAATCTGTAGGCCTCAGAGGAGCTCCAGGGTACTCCTTGGATCAAGCCCATCATCTTCCCATTGAAATGGATCCACTCATTGGTATGCTAACAAAAAAGTATATATTTTCATGAATGCTGACTGTTCACAAATGATAGTTGAATAATATTTTTATGCCACAAAATTAATGTGCAAATAATGTCAAATTACCAGTAAATAGCTGTGAAAATCATAATATGCCATATAAGAACTTTGTTGGTATTAAACACTTATTTGTGGCTTTCCTTTATGTTTTAGGAAGTCATTTTGAGTTGGTTCTAAACAAGGCACATATTTCCAAACTGTTCTTTCTTTCATCCTAAACTAGTCTTTTACAGCTTGATATTATTTAAAAAATATAAGGGCTCAAAGAGATTATTAAAAAAAACTAATACTGAAAAACATCTTTTTAAAGAAATCTTTATTTAGTAGGGCTAAAACATTTTTAAAATTAAATATTTCATATAAATTGCAAGCTCATGAGCTATAACTCTTTGCAGAAGATATTACATATATTTTAAATTATCGCATACACCTTTATTTGCCATATGATCCAGAACAAGCCTCTTAATCTTTCTAGGCCTCAGTTTCATATCTGCAAGATGGTTTATAATACTAATGTTGGTTTTGCCTATTTCAAGTGATCATGTAGAAAACTAAATTAGGAAAATAATCACAATTCTATGAAATATTAAGCCACATACAAGTTATAGTACTTTTTATAATAGCATTTATATGTCTTTGGGAGGATATAAGGTTTAGTACCAAGAATATTTTTAGAGTCTAGCTATACCAAGAAACATCAACAATATCACATACAAGTAGAGTGTAACCATGGAAAAATTAATAGCTGCATTAGAATAAATAAAGGACCAATTATATAGTTATATATAATTACTAGTAGCCTGGTGCACAAATTCATGCACATTGAAAGGAAATTAATTAGTAGAAATATTTTACTATTGCTATTAGCCCTTTCTCCATAATAGATGTGTCAACTAAATTCATGATTAACAATGACAGATTGAAACACACATGTGCAATTGGCTCCAGCGAGAGCTTTATATGTGTCATGCATGTGCAAGTTAACTTAGCCTTTTATAGATATAGAATAAACTTGCTTAATTAGACCTGCTTTGTGATATAACTCAACTTTTTCCAGCCCAGGGAAGCACCCCAAATTCTCTTTCAGGTAATTGTCAGCAACACAGCAGTAAATATCAGATTATTATTGTAAAGCACACAGGGAGACCAAAGGGTAAAACATTTAACTGCAGCAGTGTTTGACTATGTTCTGTGCAGTGAGAAAACCTAAAGTTATTTTCAAGGTTCACCATTTCTTACTCTTTTTCAGTTGGGTCAAGTTTCTAAACTTTCTAAATCGCTGTTTTCTGGATAATGAAAAGAAAATAGGATTCCACCTAGCCTCCTATCTATCTATTCT